GGATGAGCCGGGTCCAGGCCGGCAGGGAGACGGATCTCCTTCCAGAGGAGTCCCAGCTTAGCCAGACCACAGCTGCCAGTGTTCCCAGCTCCACTGGACTAGACCAGGTACTCACGCCTTCTGGCTGCAGCAGAAGAAAGCAGCCATTCTTCTCCAAACACACCAGAGGTGTTTTCATTACAAATAGCTGAAACCTGTTGGCATCCTGGAGAAGAAAAGCAGCTCCAAAAGCCAACTTTAACACAAACACCACTTCCTTCAGTTCAAAGCTGGCCCAGATTTAAATGACCAACATTTTATTTTAAACTCAGCGTATGCAGATGTAAACATCTGAGGTGACGTTCCTGTAAGTGATTTACGTTCTGTTGCAGAACATCGAGAACATCAAAGTCGTCCTTCATGAGAGGGAGCTGTGGAAGAGGTTCCATGAGGCCGGCACTGAGATGATCATCACAAAAGCTGGAAGGTTAGTGTGTGTGTGTGTGTGTGTGTGTGTGTGTGTGTGTGTGTGTGTGTGTGTGTGTGTGTGTGTGTGTGTGTGTGTGTGTGTGTGCTTGTCTTTATGTATTAATGTGGACAAGTTTAAATTTTTACCTGTAACGTGGACATTTCTACATTGTGGGGACATTTTGCTGGTCCACACAATGCTAAGCACCGTAAAACTTGGTTTTAGATGTGTGGTGTGAATAATTAGCTTTAGTTTAGGTTAGGGTATGGGTATGGATATCGATTAGGCATAGCGGAGTCACTAAAATTATTGGAAGTCAATAGAGGTCCACAGAAACATACAAATACAGGTGTGTGTGTGTGTGTGTGTGTGTCCTTGCTTGTGTTTTTGTGTGTGTGTATGTGTGCGTTCGTGCATGTCACTGCGTGCATGCGTGTTTGAGTGTACTAGTGTGTCTGTGTATGTGTGCGTGAATGTGTCTGCATGCATGAGTGTTTGTTTGTGTGTGTGTGTGTGTGTGTGTGTGTGTGTGTGTGTGTGTGTGTGCGTGCGTGCGTGTATTAGTGTGTCTGCAAGCGTGCATGTGTGTGTGTATATGTGTGTGTCACTGTATTTGTGCGTGTGTGTCAGTATGCTAGTGTGTCTGCATTCGTGCATGTATGTGTGCGTGCATGTGTCCATGTGCGTGTGTGTTTGTGTGTGTGCTTGCATCCAGGTGTGGATAGGTGTGAGTGTATGCAAGTGTGTGTCTGTGTCCGTGTGTGGATGTGTGTATTTGTGTGTGCATGTGAGTGTGTGCATGAGAGAGTGTGTGTGTGTGTGTCTGGTTTTATTGTTCTAAAAGAATTTATTTAAATTAAATTGATTGTTACATCAAACGTTCTGCTGTTCTTCCATAACTAAAAAATGAATTAAATAGAATTAATCCAAGTTGCTTTTGGACATTTTAGGTGTTTCTAACAAACTATAATTTTAAGACTTGTTTGATCTCTGTGAAGAAAATCATATGTAATGACTGACACAGAAACAGCTCTAAAGAAAATTTCCATAGACATCAATAGATGGTATAAAGTAGAGTGTTGCTCACCGACAGGAAGGAACAATCGTCTGAGAAAGAATCACCTATCTAATCGCTGCTCCTGAGAGAGAAAACTGAGAATGATGGATTCTCAGCCATGAGAATCCATCCTTCCTCAGCCACATGTTCGGCTAATATTAAGGCAGAGCAGTGTAGTCTTTCAGAGAGAGACAGACAGTTCCTGCCACATAATTGAAACCACAAATGACTGCTCGGCATGTTGGATTTAATGCGTCCTGAGGATTAGATAGTGAAGGCTTTGGACATTAACCAGAGAATGAGAACACTCAAACCGACCTCTGACTCTCATTCTTCATCCAGTGATTTAGTTTTTTTTCACTCAAAGTAAAAGGTCACCACATTTTTTCCTTAATGCTGCAGAACTATAAAAGATAGGCTTTTACTTGTTCAGCTGATAAAGTGGGTTCAGAATCCTTAAGGCCCTTTGAAGCACTGTTTAGTAATGTAGCTGTGCTGGGAGCCTCCTGGGTCTACCTTCAGTCTGTCTGAGCCCAGATGGTCACTAACACCTCCTCCATCCGCTTGGAAAGGGAAAAATATTCCACAAGCAGGCCTATTTACTCCCGCTTCTTCTCATCTGTGACTGAGCGATACGTCATCCAGACAGAAAATATCTGGAAGTGTTGAAGGAGCATAAACTGTCCCAGTGTGGAGCCATAGTGGAACTGTATGGATAGACAAGAATAAAAAAGAGAAGTGAAATCCATCCATCAATTCATCCATTCATGCTCTACCCATCTATTCATCCATCCATCCTCTATACATCCATCTATCATCGATCCATACATCCATCGATCCATCGATCCATCCATCCATCCATCCATCCATCCATGCGGTCAGGAGATCCCTTTGATCTGCTCAAAAGTATCTGATGAGGTGAAAAAGTAAGAATCCAGGCAGCAGTTATTCTGGAGAGTTTAGAGGAGATGCAGGAAGATGAGAGACAGACAGGACAGGAAAATAGTTAAATAAAAACAAGAAAACAAAACTAAGTGTTGAAAAGTAAAATGTAGGTAGATTTATCTCTACTACACGTTTTTACCTCTATAAAACAATAAGTTATACACATGTAATATTTACAGGGCCAGATTAAGACTTCGTTGTACCCTGGGCAACAATATTAAAGGGCCCCATCATCATGCCCCAAGGATCACCATAATATGGTCACATACAGAATATTTTTTTGTAATATGCAGTAAATATATTGCAACGTCACGTAACCCGCTCAGGGTAACCTTTGACCCACCTTGTGTGGACTGACCAATGAGGAGAGGGTCTTAACTTGAGGCCCTCTCTTCATTGGTCAGTCTGCATGAGACTGACTCTCAACTGACGTTCAAAGTCATAGGCAGCGAAGCGTCTCTGTGCAGCGCAAAAGCCCGGGTGATGTCAGGCATTCAAGTATTGAGTATATTTACTGCATATTACAGTAAAATATTCTGTACGTGACCATATTATGGTGATCCTTGGGTCGTAATGATGGGGCCCTTGAATATTGTTGCCCAGAGTCCAACAAAGTGTTAATCTGGCCCTGCCCAGACCGAGCATTTGGTGGTCTACTATCCACAGTAACCCAGCTCTACGATAAACACTGCCCATTGAAGAAACAGGAGCCTAGAAATAAAAAAGTAGATAAGCCATGGATAACACATAGTAAAGGAATAGCATGTAAAAAGATAAACTACCTCTACAGAAAATATATAAAACAACGAACTACCACTGCAGAAGAAAGATATAAGACATATAAAAATAAGTTCACAAGTATTATGCGTGTGGCTAAAAAAATTATTATCCATTACATTCAATTCAAGTTTATTTATATAGCACCAAATCACGACAAGAGTCTCAAGGCACTTCACATAGTAAACATTCCAATACAGTCCAGGTCATTAAGCCAATCAGTTAAAAGTTTCCTATATAAGGAACCCAGCAGATTACATCAAGTCACTGACTAGTGTCAGTGTCTTTACAGCAATCCTCATACTAAGCAAGCATGTGGCAACAGTGGAGAGGAAAACTCCCTTTTAACAGGAAGAAACCTCCAGAGGATCCTGGCTCAGTATAAACAGCCATCCTCTGATTACGCACACACACACAAACACAGGGGGGGGGGGGGGGGGGTTGGAAAACAGTAGGGGTGAGCAGAAGCACTTGCCGGAACTTCGGAACTGCTTATGTGAACAGAGGAGGAGCAGACAGCGCACAAATTTTGTGAACGATCCACTTCGCCTGCACTTCGCATCTGGTTTGTTCCGGCCGTAAGCCTACAGCATCACAATTACAGAGATAACGCTGGATAACCTAGCCTTTTAGATGGAGGCATGTTGGAGGCAGGGCAAGGGAAAGCCGTCTTTACCGACTGTACACTCCACCTCCCTCTACTCCCCCACTTGTCCAGATCTAGGCTAACATCAGATTTTAACCATAGACCCTATCAAATAAAAATGTTTTAAGCCTAGTCTTAAAAGTAGACAAAGTGTCTGCCTCATGGACTAAAGCTGGGAGCTGGTTCCACAAGAGAAGAGCCTGATAGCTAAATGGAGCTAGTTTGGGATGAAATGGACAGAAGAGTGAAAGCAAAGCAACCTTCAAGTGCCACACATTTCTGGGAACTTCTGCAACAGATATGGGAAGAGCTTTCTGAAGAATATTTGATTTCTATTGTAGAAAGAATGCCACGAGTGTGTTCAGCTGTTATATCTGCCGAGATGGCTACTTTGATGAGTCAAAAGTTTAGAACACATTATGGTCTATAAAATGATTCCATGATTTTTTTTACTCCAATTGCTTATTTGTACTGTGGTTTCATTTCAGAGTGCACTGTGACATTAAACTGCATAATTTCCAATAAAAAACTGGAAAAATTGGGACGTTCTAAAACTTTTGACCGGTAATGTAGTTTTTCAGCATCACTCCTGGAAAGAATGCTTCTAATCTTAACAGTATTCTGAAGGTGGAAGAAGGAAATCCTACAAACCTGTTTAACATGGGATTTGAATGACATGTCCTGGTCAAAGATAACACAAAGGTTCCTTACTTTGTTCTCGGAGAATGATTTAATGCCGTTCAGGTCAGGTGATTGAATTAACAATTTTCTTTTCTAATTTTCGGGTCCAAAGATGAGAACTTCGGTCTTGTCTTGATTTAAAAGCAGAAAGTTTTGAGTCATCCAATTTTTTTATGTCTTCAAGACAAGCCTGTACATGGATAAATATAACCGAGTATCGTCAGACGTTTTTGTCATAATTACCAAAATAAAAGTCTTACTTCAGACACTGAAGCACAAACCAGAATAAAGAGCTATAAGAAAATGGTGCTGCTGAAGGATTCGTGTTGGCCAATGCTATTTCATAAAGTTACCTACTAACAACAAGTACTGTGTAAAATAAAGTGTCCTCAAATCTAAAGCCCCTAAACTATATGCAGCTTGCCACAAGCAGACCTATTTACTATTACTATTTACAAGTAATAGTTACAGTCAACGTAGAAACTTTTATTAAAGCCTTTTCATAATGAGTTTCACTTGGATGTTAAAAATGAAATTAACGGTGCCCGTAAAACAAAATCATTTTAAATGAACGCAAACTGTAAAAAGCAATACACCAAAAAGTTGGCAGGTCAGACTCCTAATGAGGCTGGATCCCAGCAGGGTCAGAGCGTCAGGCTTAGCAGTTCCAACCCTGGAGATCAGATGAAACCAGCGCCCTCGTTTTCCCAAACAGCACCGAGCTGAGTCGAGGAATTGTTATGGTGTGTGTCAGTGTCCAGACTCTAACACCCCCTCCACACACACACACACACACACACACACACACACACACACACACACACGCACACACACACACACACACACACACACACACACACACACACACACACACACACACACACACACACACACACACACACACACACACAC